TTCCACTTTGAGAGTTGCCGAGTCCCTTGATCCATTTCCCATATAGACCAAATCTGAGACATGCAACACTTCAAGACCATAGATCCATTTTCCTAGGGCATGCTTATCACGTAAAGTTGCAAACTTTACGTGCATGCATGGCCCTACAAGCTCCAAAAGGAAAATCCAAGCTCTTTATGAGGTCATGCACTCAATAGGGACCTCAATCACTTCAACCGCAAAAACTTTATGCTTCTAATACGTCCACAAGGTCTAGATATGAAGTCTTTTCGGATCATTAAGCACAAACACATGGAGTTTGGTGTTTTAGGGCTTGAAAACCACCAATTAGGTACAAAAATGGTATCTAATGAACTAGTGATCAAGGTAGGAACTTTTCTACCTGAATGGAAGCTTCTCACAGTGTAGATTTCAGATCTACTCCCTTCCTTGCACTCCTCAACCTCCTCCTTCTTCTTCTAAGCTCCAAACTTCCTTCATCAAGCAAAATCAATCACAAGAACAATATGGGGGCTAGGGTCTCTCACTACATCTCTCTTGTAGTGTTAGTGATAAGGGAGGCCGAGTTAGTGTGCTTAAATAGGGTGCAAACACTCGGGTTAGGGTTTTTGCCCAAATAGGGCCTACTCGCCGAGTCGGGCCCGTGTCTCATCCCGCTCCTACTCAGCAAGTTGGTCCTTCAACTCGCCAAGTCCAAGGCAAAATGCATGAATTAAGGATTATTAATTACAAGAAATACGTACCGGGAACCAGGTGCTACACCACCTCTCCAACACCCTCCCTTGAAACCTTAACCCTAGTTTGAGCCTTTTGAGCAAAAGAAAATGTTCTTGAATGCTTTAGAGTGTTATTGGTGCATCTTGGAGAAGAATAAGCTCATTGGAGAAGTGTTGGTTGCATTGGAGCTTGTACATCCAAAAACTTTGTTCACCTTGATCTTTCTTCTAGAGGTATAAAGCTTAAATTTTGATGATTCATTTGTTAGATCTAGCTAGTTATGGGTGTTACGAGTTTTTGGTCACCTTAGTGCATAAAGTTTAGATCTTGAAAGTTTTTGACCTTGGTATGGATAAATTTGGAAACTTTATCGATCTAAACATCGTATTGATTTAGATCTAAAGGTTGGAGGCTTATACTTAATGGATTAAGTTGAAAAAGATGCACTTTTGGTACCTTTGAGAGTTAAAGACTACATATTGGTTGTTTGGAACGTTCTAATGGATAAAGTTCGAAACTTAATCCATTATAGAGTTATTAGGAACCATAAAAATGTAATCTTGGACTTTAGTTTCCTTCCATGCACGAGCTAGGATGTCTTAAAGAGTTAAGAAGTTAGGATTTTTGTATTGTGCACTTAATAGCCATGCAAGATCATAAAGTTGGAAACTATATGATTAAGAACATCATTTGAGGGATAAATATAGATTTTGGATGAAAGAGCTTAAGGATTAAGCTCTTAATGGGAAGAAAGGGTGGCAGCCGCATATGCTGGGCGTACCAAAGGGTACTGCGCGTATGTGGCCAGCCCCTTGATTCTGGTCAAACGTGTAGTACGTCTCGCGTACCTGTTGAATACGCCTAATGTACTCAACGAGTTGATCCGGTTGACTTTGACTTTGAATTTGACCAAGAGTTTGACCTAGGGGTATTTTGATTATAAGTTAAGTTTGGTCATGTTCCAATGAATAGGTGATCGGTAGAGCTGATATTCAGAGTAGTGTCCTGTTCAACGATCTTTTAGACTGAGAGGTGAGTTTACTTCACTATACTCATGGGTCGAAGGTACCAATGCCGGTCGGCTAAATTATGTTGGTAGGATAATAATTGTTTTCATGACAATTTCCTGTATTGCCTGCATATGTTTGTTGTCTTTGTGACTCTTATTGTTTTGATTATATATGCTAGCTGTAGGGGTGAAATTGACCCGATACTGATTAAAAGAGACCGAAGGGTTGAAATATACC